GCCTCATCCAACCTGGCCTTGAACACTTCCAGGGATGGGGCATCCACAGTTTCTCTGAGCAACCTGTTCCAGTGCTTCACCACCCTCTCCAGGAAAAATTTCTTCCTGATATCTAACCTAAACATGAATATTTTCCATTTAAACCCGTTACCCCTTGTTGCTCAGATTTTGTCTAGGTTTGTTTGTCTAGGAACAGTGCATTCTCCCTCTCTTATCAATACAATGGTGCTGAATGAAGGCCTAAATCCAGTTCTTAGTCCACACGATCAACACCTAATCCCATGTCCTGCTTCCCTTACTTCCAAAATCAAGTCCTAGCTACTCTGCCAGTTTATTCTGTAAGCTTAGTACCACAGAACAACATCCAATTTCTAGCTAGTAGGGCTTGCTTTTATCAAGATACTGCATTTGAAATGAACCGGTCTCACTGAGCCTCACCAACAGAGAGCTTTTACTGGACCACATGTGCCTCCAACGTCCTCCTCTTCCAGGCCTCCTGTAAAAAGCCCAAGTTACCTCATATGCAGCATCACTTAATATAACTGGACTACAGATAGACACAGAAACAGCCTATTCAAAAGGATGCTCTTACCATCACAAATTTGCTCTTGTGCAGTTAAATAAGCTATTTTACTAAATGAAACCCCCAGCTGACATTTACAAAAGAATTTTTTTTATCTTCTTAAATCTGTATCAAAACCCCTAAGATCATTTCCTCTTCTGTTGTTTCCTCAATCATCAGGTTATGGTCCCACAACCTGGGCTGTGGAATCCAGTACTTTATAAAAGATTTGAACAAGAATCTAGAATAGTCTTGGTTCCTTTAGATCACCGTAGCTATGTCTAAACTGTGCAACCTGGGAGCTCTAAAGACCTGAAGTCCCAAGAGTCACAAGGTTATTACAAAGTCATCAGCCCACTTTGCCATGTGTGCTGCAAAGGAACCTGAAGCCCAACAGAGTGGTCGGATGAGGATGGGAGTGAGAAAAGGAGCCCCAGAAAAGAAAAAGGCAGGCAGGAATGTTTGAACTGGAATTATCACTAAGTGAAGGATACAGAGTTCCATGTGCAGAAGTTTTGGAATAAAATTTTATTTTTCTCAGTGATAATTTTTTCTAAACATTAAGGCAATGCCTAAAGAGCCCACAAAGCTCCACTGTACTGGGAGATCTGCACATCTCATATAGCAGCATGTCAGAAGATGATTTATTTTAGGTCATCTGTGGCAAGTGTAGTTACTTCATCTTCCGTTGAGCTTACGGACTGCCTCCCCGTTTGCAGACTGCAGAGGAAACGTAGCACAAAGAACCTCTCATACCTACAGCTACATCCAGACCAGCTCTCTGGGCTTTAAAAGATGTATTTTTATTAATTTTGAGAATACGATTATTTCACAACAAAATTAAGGTCATTATGATGTTATAGAAGTCACTTTTACCAGCTTATTGCCCCACACAAGATCCTTCATAGGCCTATCATTAAATTTGCAGGAGGAAGCAGCTCACAGAATTACAAAGTAGCATTTTGAAGGGACAGAATTACAAAGTTGACAGATCAACCTTAGCTTTCTACATGATTATGGAACAGTTCATTCCATTCAGAGTCTCCTTTGGGCCACCTGTTTAAGCATGCAACATAGACTTTTGGATACATAAAAGTAAGGTGTGCGGCCTCAGCAGAATGGTTTAGATCACAGTAAGTTAGGAACACTTCCAAGAGTCCCAGCAATACCCATCCCATCAGTCATTCAGGCAAGGCAGGATTGGATAGATGCTACCTCAAGCCAGCACAGAGGAAACACACAAAAGAGGGAACAGCCTCTGGATACTAGAGTCAGGGCTCTGCCATCTGAACTATAATGTGGTCAGACAAGGTGGTCTGAGACCATTTCTGAGATCTAAACTGTAAACCCCCTGGTCACAGATCCACAGTCCCTGTCCCAAGACAGTCATGCCACCCATTTGACCTCAGTGTGAGCAATTCCATATACCAACCCAGCAGAAAAGACACCTAACTAAAAAATTTTATCTTATATACAAGCATCATAGTATAAAGAAAGATCAAAACCATGCAATAGGAAGTAGAGGCATTGGGGAGAGAGAAATGGGAACCAGGCCTGCTCTTTCTGGCTCACTACACCATGAGTAATCCTTCTGAAAAGAGATATCCAAGAGGAAGAAAAAAAACCAAGAAGGGGCCTCTCTTCATATCAAACCCTGGTCCTGATCTCTGCTCCCAAAACTACTCAGAAACCTTATAGAACAGCTCTTAAAATAAAACATGAGCCGAACTTGGAGCAAAGCCTTGCACTACTCAAACTTGGTTCTGAAAAAAGACTGAGTTTCTTAGGGACTTTTAGGGTACTTTCACTGGAATACCAAGTATTCTGCACCTGTTAACTGAATTTAAACATTCTGTCATCCAATACAGGTAGTAGACCAAAGGTTCGGAGTTTAAGGTCCAAAACGCCCACCGACTTTCCCAAGGACTTTGCACACAATGACATTTCACTCAGAAGTTGGCACCCTCGACCTTCCAAAAAATGCCAATCCTGACACTCAGCACTTCTGCAGATCAGGTCAGAGAAACAACAGCCCCAGCTCCACCTTCTTCACTACTCAATGGTTCTAGTTTCCCCATTTCCCTCAGTCTGTCAGTTCAGCCAGGCTTCACTCCTTATTGCCCTCCTATTCAGGGACAAAACTAGAAAAAGATTTGGGGGGGTTTGTTAGCCTCCAACAGACAACTAAACTGTTTACACTGAACTATTTATTTCAAACCCAACATATTAAAAGATCAGCTTAATACAGGCACACTGAACAGGAAATTTTAAAACAAATAGTGGGAGGTTTAGAGATAAGCAGTGGAAAACTGGATGTCAGAATGGGAAATGTCGGACAGTCTGAAAGTATGCAATGCTTCCTGGCCTGCCTGAAAGAAACACAACAGGATCATGATGTGCTCTGTAAAACTGATGAACTTCTGGAGTATTCATGTCCTAGTTTCTAAATATTTTGGTTTTGAAGATGAAGAGGCAAGTAATTCTATTGTTCTCTGTGAAGAATCATCATTGGTTTTATGATGAAGGGAAAAGACTGTTGCTGATACCAGTTAGCACAGATTTCAACACAGACAGGCCAACTGAGCCAGCAAACAGTCTGGTCTGAAGTAGCTCTCCCTTTCCTTTTTCACTGCTTAGGATCTGAGGGATATTAAAAGTGCCACAAGCTTCGCAAGTGCAAGCTGTACCATGTTTTCATCGGAATTAGTTTTCAGGGCATTTTGTGTGCGTGCACAGCTATTTGATAACAGTTTTATGAGTCCTAAAAAATAAAACAAATACTTTACACATTATTCATTCAGGCACACACGTGCAATGCTGAATCAGAATCCACATGGAGATCCAGCCAGATCCAGAGTTGTCCAGGAACATGGATGTATTCCCTAGATGCTATACCTAGAAAGGGCCTTGTGTCCACAGCCAAATGCATGGCCACATCTCAACTGAAAATAACAACAAACCTCAAGGTAAGTGTCGAGCAAGTGGTTCAGATGACTTCTGCCCACTCTGCTATGGGCTAACACCCTCTGACAGGTACCAGCTGCACCCATGCCGTGCAGCACTCAGCTCAGGCTCCTCCAGCTCAAGACAGTTATTCTCTCTCTTGATCTTTAATTGTAGCCTCTACACAAAGCAAGGGTTGTGCTGCTGCACGGAACTCCTGTAGTACGGCTCCATGCCCTATGTTCATAGAAGACAGGCTGGGAGCAAACTAATATACGGGCTGGGTGGGCAATTAGGAAAACAGCAGTTGGTAAGGGACCAGACTGATAAGCTACTCGACAGTGTAAAGGCATCCAATTTTCATATTGTATAAAAACTGCCACAAAGTCAGTGTCACACTTCAAACACATTTTTGCTTGAAGTTCACAAGTTAGAAAATTTTGTAAGTTAATATACAAGGCAAGAACAGCTATTTTAAGAGATCACTCCTTGCTGGAGACAAGGTTATGCTCACCGTTTTCTGTGAGCAAAGATGCCCGAAGTGTCAGAAACACTCAAAGAGCCTAGTCTAAGAAGATCCCAGCATTGTCATTTAGGGTCAGACACAGCTCACCCACCCCTTTCAGAACTGCACCAAATACCTGCATAAGCAAACAGTTTTAAGACACAGACGTGATGCTCCAACTGGAAGAAGCTGTGAAAGTTCACTTCTAATCTGGACACTTTTTTCAAGTGCCTACATGGAAGGTAGGTGTTGGAAATTGAAGCCCTCTGAACTTCCTGTGTACTGGGATGTTTGGCACCAAGTTGTCTTGAAAATTTGGCACTTGTTACCAAATTAAAAGCAACAAGAGCTGGACAGACACCCTTGGTTTCACTCTAAAGCAGGCTCCCATCAGAACCCTTTGTCCTGGGAAAACCTATGCCTTGTTTGAGAGATACAAGCAATGCAGAATCCACAATGACTCTCTGCACTGGGGATAGGGAAAAGAAAATTAAATCTCTCTAGATTCTGACCTCCGTGCCATGGAGGACCTCTCTCCTTAGGAACTAGTGAGGAAGACAGTAACAAAGGCTGTTGGAGTCTTCTTGGAGATGGCAGAGGTGGAACATCTAATCCATTGAACTGGTGAAAGGCAGTTCAATACCTACTCCCAGGAATAAAGCAGTTAGCCAAAAAATTGTTTCTACCCTCTATTATACAGGACCCATTTAAAATAACCACCAGCAAACAGCCTACAGGAGCACCAGCAGGAAAGGAACAAGCTCAAAGGTGAAACTGCACATCAGAGCATGTTTTGTTTGCTTAGGGGTTTTAGTTTCCTTTTTTTGTTTGTATTTAAATAAATGCTACAGTTCTGCCAGGCTGAGCACATTATTCCACACTGCAGCATCCAAAGCACAATGAATCACTTGGCAGATGTAATTTTTTTCTTCCCCACATTTTCCCATATTTGTTTTAATCACTAGCCCAGCAAAGGTTTGGTACTCTTACCTTAACCACCTCTGGGGCCTGCTGAATTGAAGCCGGAACAGAGTCTCTGGAGGCAGCCCCAGCATAGCTTTTTTGCCCTGCAAGGAGGGACTGCGAAGGAGTCGTTAAAGTTTCCTGAAGAATCTGCATCACTTCCCTCTCCTTCGACAAGCTTCCCTTGCCCTTCTGGAATTCTACCAGTTCCTGGGCAAAGTCCTCAATGCTTTCCAGGATACGCAGTAAGAGGGCTTTGTCATCCTCTTCCATTTTATGACCATTGGTTTCCATGATTTTTGACAAAGGGGAAGTGGGGTCGACGGGTTTACTTTTAGGCTCAAGAGCCAGAGGTAGTGCCTGCCTACCCTGCCAGCCAAACACCTGCAAAGAGGCAGGTTCACTCTCCTTCGGAGAGGGCTCCCTCAAAGTACTCTCCATTTTCTGTGAGAAGCACTCCAAGTCCAGCAGCAGTTTATCTATCTCCTCCTTGTCTCTCTTACTGCACATCTGCTCTCCTCTGGAGACATCAGCTTGGGAACCACACAATACCGAATCCAAAATTGGTTTTAATGGAGTAATTTTCTCAGAAGCGTGGGAGAGCTCAACATCTCCCACACTGGCACGTTCTGCTTTAGCACTGGCAGTTAGATCCAAACCACCAGGTAGCTGGTAGCTGCGCTCTAAGCTCTCCCAGCCTCCTCGCTGCTCTGCCTTCTGTATTTTCCCTAACGTTCTTTCCCCATCAGACTCCTCCTCAATGTACAGAGCCTCGGCAGAAGACATGCAGTCAGAAGGGCTTGTGGCTGGGAACTGAGGTAGAGCACAACCATCTTTTGCAGCTCTCACACTGTTCTCTGGTGGGATGCCGTGAATGGAATTTGAGGTAAAGCTCACAGTACTTGTCTGGATGGACTGAGGGGAGCTTGTCACCTCACACTGCTCACCTGGTAGTCTGTGAGGAACTGCACTGGAGGATGGCAGCTGAACAATATCTTCATAGCGAGGTGGCTGCTCATCTCCAAACACTGGGGAAAAGGGAGTTTGCTGCAAGCCATGAAAACAGTTAACTAGTTCCGCCAAGTCACTAGCTTCCTTGTGTCCTGGTGGCTTGAGCTCAAAGGGTAGCTTTTTCAGGTATGAAGAAAATCTTGTCATCAGATTCATATATATCATCTCTGAATTAGCCAGGGGATCATTGCTGTTCCCTCCACTAACACCACCTGCAGTCTTCTTTTTGATGCAATGTTTTATTATGTCTGTGCACTTTTTCAGATCCTCTGAGCACTTGAGCAAGATGTCTAAGCACACCTTAATATCTCCACCAGAAGAACCATCTAGCTTATGTTTTTCCAAAATCTGGGTAATGAAGTTTTCTTCAGAGAAGGAATGAAGGGAGAAGGGAACCACGGGATTCATGGTGACCTCGGGAGCATCATTGCTCTCCTGCCATTTCTCCACAGGTGAGGGACTCTGCAAAAAGCCACACGGAGGGCAGTTCTCATCATTGTTGAAGTGCCCATAAATCAAATCAAAGTCAAATGATCGTCTGCTGAATGAATCTGACCGAACTTTCCTTCCCTTTCTGTAGGCCACATGACTGGAAGAGTTTTTGAGCTTTTCAAAGGAGAATTCCTTTATTTTACCACTGGCAAGGTTTATCGCCTCACCTGTAATGTCTTTTAAACTGCTCGAGGCTTGCACTGAAGAGCCCTTCTTGATCCTTGGATTATTTGGGAGGATTTGCTGATAGTCCTCATTTCCAGGCAAGCTAAGTCCATTTTCAGAAACAGGAATTTTATGGTCTAGGCTGGCATCTTGGACACTGAGCTCTGCACACACACTGTGGTGGGCAACTATGCATTTAAGTCCTTGCTTAAACACTTGGCAAGTCCCTGTGCAGTAATGCACAGTGTGCTGAAAGTGCTGGTCTATCACCACACTGCTGTAGCAGTTCACAGAAGTGACCATAAGCCTGTAGGTTGCTGCCATAGCACAGATCACGCTTGAAAGCGCGGCTTCAAAATTCACCATGAACTTAACAGGAAAAAGGTCACACATACACCCCCTTTTCACAGCTACACCAGATTTAATTAAAACATTCAAATATCAGTGGAAAACATTCAAACTATATGAGAAACTACTGCCTTGGAAAGCCCTAGTGAAGTCTGGAGTGGTATCAACAGTACAGTTAAAACAATTAGTGCAACTTGCATGTGGTTTAACTTAAGGCAACTTGATTCTTGTGCCCCATGCAGAAAGCTTTGCTGATCACAGATGCAACATGAGCTGTTCCATTTCTAATAGTTCAGGTAGCTTCTCCAGCAGGTGTCAAAATTCAGACAGTTCTTAGGCAGAAGTGACAAGACAATGATTTTTGTTCAACCTTTCTTCTCTCTTTTTCAGGTGGGCGAGTAGAAGATACATAATCAAGTAGCATATAGAGACAAAAAATCCACAGTATGCTTGAGATTCCCCTCTCACACTGGTAAGGTAGATCCCTGAAACAGATAAAAAAGAGAGTCATTATAATTTCCATGTACTATGCAGGTTTGTCTACTACCAAACATATGGCACCAGCCCGTAACAACCAACACAAGCTCGTACAGAGTAAGAGTAGGCTGATATTTTTCTCCACTCCAATCTACCATATAAGAACACTGCTGAGGAGCTAGCCTATATTTATACACAGGCTGTCTGCACGTTGCCATTTTAACAGCTCTATTTTAACCACTCATTAATTTTTTTTCCACATTTGCTTTTTTACCTCCCTAGACTGAACAAAACCTTACCTTTAATTCTAACGGAGCAAGAGATTTAGCTCATGTTGTGAATTCCTGATTTCCTCTCTAAAGATAAGGCAAAGAGCAGTAGAGAAAAGCACTTTCAGGGTTTTGAAGCGCTCTGGATTATAAAAAGCTGCAAACAGCCTGGAGCAAAGTAGATGAATGTCTCTAAGAATGCATGGCCTTTAGTAAAGGCCACATAGGCTTCCATTAGCCAGCCTTTCACCAAGGTCCCTGAGACCATGGCAAAATATTTTAGGGAGAAATAACTGGTTTTTCGTTTTCTTACAACCCATAAATAGCAGCATACTTTATTAAATAAAGTCCACTAGTGTAGACATCAAGAGCGGAAAGTAACATTTGCATAAATGTTAAGCCTGTGAAAATAAGAAATTGTTTTACACTGAGCATAGCCATTTCCAGCTGCATTTCCTATCATCATGGTCAGAACTGCACCAGAATAAACAAAGGTTGCTTAACTTTGTTATGAAAGGATAAGAAATCCCAAATTTAAGGGTCATAAATTTGAAACATCACTTCATCTTTCTTGAATACTTCAATAGTCAAATTAAAAACACTCCAATGAAATTCTGAGCACCCTCTATTCCTGTATAAACAGGAATCCTTTTGATAAGAGATGATTAAATCATAGCTAAGTCACACTCCAGCATGCGTTTCTTCTGTTCTCCAAGAAACACACATGGTGTATCTAGCACCATGTGAAAGGCCAGACCTGCATGTGATGAATGGACTGCCCTCCACGCATGTTACATCCCACCTACCTTCACTCACGAGCCGGTACAAATCTATCACACAAAAGGAAAGCACCTTAAAAGTTTGGTGCTTTTGCAATTAAGGACTGGGGACAGCACAAGACTGCTGATCATTCACATTTAACATTTTACAGCCTAAATTTGAAACAGAGAAGCAGTGATTTAAGAGTATTCGATGGAATTTGTGATGTGCTATGTCTGCTCACTGCAATGAGGCAGAATTGTACCCTGCGAAGAAGCCGCACAGATTTGCTCTCTGCATTATACAAAGCATTGAAATTATTTCATTCAAGATGAACTGCTCCAACTTCCATGCTGGTATCTGTAACAGGCTGCCACCTGCCTATCGACTACCGCAGGCCAAGTTGCCTGTTGTACTGGGGCCAGCTGCAGAGTACACTTCTGTGCCTGTCCTGTACTGCTCCCCTCTACACCCACTGGCACTGCCCCAAAGCCCCACAGGCATGGGAGGGCCTTCCAGGGGGGTGATCAGAGGTATGAGGTGTGCCCCAGCCACAGCAGTGAGTCAGGGTGCCAGGGGATAAAGGGCGTAAGCAGAACCGTTTTTAAACCCCAGGGTGCTTATACCATCAGGCATCAACATAGGTAATAAGACTCCACACCCTCCAGTCACTGAATCCCAGGCTTCGCTATCAGGTGTGCTAAATGCTCTGCTGAATCAGAGCCACAGTTCAAAAAAAAGTACTATTGGCTCCCAAACGACTTCATCTCATAGGACTTAATGGGCTTTGTTCAGACAGGAAAACCCATGCTTCTATGCCTCCAGAAAGTCTCATCATCCATGGACTCCCTGAGAGTGCCCTCTGCCTAACACATCCAGGGTAAGTCTGCTGCTTTTCCTTTCCTGAGCCTCCATCAACTACAAAGAAGCTTTCTGACACTTCCTGAAATAAAAGTTAGATAATATTCAGAGAAAGTAGAGGTCTTCAGGAGAGCAGGTTTGATAAAGAATTAATATTACTTCTGAAAAAGCACGAGACTTTCCTTCTCAGAGGCTCCTTCCTCCTCCTGCGTCATACACAGCAAGGAGAGACCGGTCTTTTTACCAAAGACTCGTCTGGGTTTATACCCAATCTGGGAAATAATGACATCTTGATGAAGTTATTCCTTAATTAGAGAAAGAAGGTATTAGACTCACTGTCTCCATCTCCTATATGACTCCAAGGGTAATTTCCTCCCTATACATGTACCCCTTCCACTGAGACTAAGCCAGTTTCTCCAATCCTTTAAGCTACCTTCAAACAACAAAGGTTTTTGTGTCTGTAAGATTAGTCCACAAGTTCTTCCTTGATAAGGTCTCCCAGATTCCCAACCTAAACTGATTCTTTTTTTAGTTCAACTTCATATTTCCAGCTATGCCCAATGACAATGCTCTTCCCACCAACTCCCCTCCATAGTTCCCAAATAATTTCAGGTCCTTATGCCCTAAACCGTTGCCCAGCCATGTGACAAACAGTCAGCCCTTTCTGCTTCAGTACAAGGCAAGCTCTCCAGCCATGTCTGATGCATTCCCTAATGTCTCTCCAATTTGTGTGTATTTCTCTGGTACTATCACACCCAGGAATCAACATCATCCGGGCACAAACTTGAGAAGGCTAACACAAGGCTCTCTGTTGCCGTCAGCTTTTACTGCTGTGTCAGGGAGGGAAGTAAGCAAAGAAGCAATGTCAAAAACCCGATATCCTCTTCTCAGCCAGATTAACTAATGACTTCCCAATGATTAGTTACCACTTGCCTTATTATCACTGTGTGCAAAAGCAAGCTAAGGTTATTCAAGGTGCCGAGTATTTGACTCCAGTTATGCAAGACCAAAAAAGCTTGTATAGACAGCACAAATGTGTATAGATGCAGAGTAGAAACTATTTTTTCATTTCTTCACTGGCTTGACCATGGCAGCACATGCTCAGCTTGCAGCTTTATTCTACACTGATCCATCAAACATGATCCAGCATGTAAACCTAGACAAGACAGAACCTATGAGAAGAGTATTCCTGTTACGGGGGCTGGGAACCTGGTCTCAAGCTTAGGTTGAATAGGCTTTTGTTGTGACTTTGGGTTGGTGACTAAAACCTACTATTTATGAAGAGCAACAATGGAAAGACTGAATCTGTTCAGAAATATTCATGCTTCACTCTTTTCAGCCTGCCATTTCATTCCAGTTGTGACTCCGGAACACTCCCCAGTTCAGATACACTGTAGAAAGATTCCATAATTAGGACTGCTGCCACGAAACCAACTCCAACCCTGAAGATACAGGATTGGCTTCACAACATAAACTATGAATGAATAGGGTTTCTTGTGTGATTGCAGAATAATGCTTTATGTCTTTCCTATCTGCAAGATGACATGAATCACTTCCCAGAGGAAAAAAATATTGCAGATACTAATGATAAAAAAGGTTGTTCTATAAGACACACAAGAAATTCTATTCATGGAAAGATTAGGCTAGAGTTAAACAACTGAACAATGACAATCTGTTCGGACGGGGACTGTCAGCCAGCGTTTGACTTACTGGCAAACTGAAGTTTAGAAAGCTATGGGAAAGTCTCAAATTAGGCAAAAGTCTTCTTGAACTCCAATCTCCAGCACTAGCAACAACGTTACTAGTGATCAGAAGTTGGAAACCACCGTAACAAGCATTATGAAGTGAACTAGCCCTTTCTGCCCCCTCACACAGCATGGGTGGCACTATGCAACTGTGCTCGTTTCTAGTGGAAGAGGTGGCAGGATAAACTCTGAAGTTCGGTACTCTTGCAAAAGACAGAACAACAGTTTTGCCATTTGGACAGTCATCGATACCGTTTTGGAAGTATCGTCCTAGACATGCAACCAGAGAGAAGCTGCTTGTGCCAAAAAGCAGCATGTAGCTGCATCCTTTTATTCAGAGATGCTTGATCTTTGTTTTCGGGTTTACTGAGCAAAACAGATTTGGGAGCAAACTATATTGATCACAAAAGACAAAAGCAGGCAAATAACGCGATGCTTTCTTGCAAAGCACAACTTTCAGCCAATCTTTGGTACTTTCTCAAAAAATAGGAAAGGAATAAAGAAAGAGTATTAATCTTCTACTCATAAATTCTTTATTTTTAGAATCCACTACAGAATGGTGCTGGACCCTGAGATGTATTATTCCTTTTCTTACTACCTGGCTCAAGTCAGAACATGGTAAACTTTTAAGATTCAGAAACACACTGCAAATGCAGACTCTGAGGATGGAGACAGGAGTAGATGAGGTTACTCACTCAGTTGAGAGCTGTTCCACAGCTCATAAAGGAGCTGACACTGATCCCCCAAAGGGTGTCTGACCACACAGCCAAGTGGTCAGTGCTCCAGTGGCCCAGTTCAGAGAACAGGGTTCACAAGATCAGTAGTAATGTTACACAGTGTTCTATACAGTAATTGAAAAATCGTTGAAAATCTAACATTAAAAACATTACCAAATGCTCCAGCTAGG